AGACCCCATAGCGGAGGTCAAGGATCATTTAAACTGTCAAACACCAAGCGGTCACCGGTGACCGCAACCTATTGTTCTTTAATTGTGTCTACAAAACCGGTACTCGACGAGTTAAAGTGGTTTTTTGAGGAAGTTTTTTCGATGATCATAGGTCAAGATTGTGGACGATACTGTGTAGATAGTTTTACTGTTTACTGTAATGTTAAAAGGAGATCTTGTTTCCTGAGGTGATGGAACTTTTCCATTTGAAGTAAAAGCACTTTTTTGCTAGTGTAGTTAGTTAATTGACTGCAAACATAAAATCACGTGACATAACATCATGCCTTTTTATTCCCGAAGGGGTAGGCAAAGGTGCACATTACACCACTTAATGTCACTGTACCATGTAACACTTACTTTTCGTTATGAGTCCCATGTAACAGGGGGTTAGCCTATTGCCATATACCGGGCACAATTCCAGGCTCCGTGCTACTACCGAGAATACTTAAAAAAATCCAATAATACTTTGCCCGACCCGGGAATCGAAACCGAGACCCCTTGCCCGGCAGTCGCACTTACGACCACTCGGCCAACGAGGTAGCCAAGGGAGTTAACTTAGCAGGGCTAACGGTCTGCCTTATGGAACGCAATTATCGTGACCTGTGAATATTTGCAACACCAAAAGTATAATTTAAAAAAAAATTAAGATCCTACTAACATTATAAATGAGAAAGTTTATAAATGAAAAAAAAGTAAAATAAAAATAAAAATCGTTTATTAAACACAAAAACTTCCAAAAGATGTAACAGTAGTCTAATTATTATACAATTATTGTAAATTATAAATACAAAAAATTATAAAAAACAACTTACATTGAAATAATCAAAGATAAATTTAGGATGAGTACAATTAGGTTTTTTTTTAAACTGTAGCGTAACGCCTGAGGTAGGTTTCAGTAAAAACCTGTGTTTCAGGCGATCACTTCACTCAAGATGAGATTAGGATGTCAATGTGAGAACGTACAATCTACACAATTTATAAAAGAAGTTATTTATATACCAACAGAACAAATGTTTTTACGACTAAGTAACAATAAATGTAAATATTTTATATCTAGGTACATAAATAATATTAAAACAACGGAAATTTAAAGTTTAATACATATACCTATTAGATATATTTTATAGTTTCTAGTAGTTTTTAAAAACAAAGAAACAACATTATAAATGAGAATGTATGAGTGTGTGTTTGTTTCTCTTTCATGTCAAAACGACTGAAAGAACCGAAATGAAATTTGAATAAGGGTATATAATGGTCATAGGCTACTTTTCATCAGCGATCAGAAGCTAGTTATATCCATTCCATACTTCTCATTCTCATGTATCTTATCTAAGAGATTAAGTAGACGTCAATTCTTCATAACTGGTGTTATCTATTCAAATATTTGCTACAGATTTTTTGTTCAAAAGCACACTTATATGTATGTCTCGAGGATACATTTTAGCATGCTTAACATTGAAATTACCAAAAAGGTAAATAACTACTAAACCTTACAAAATCAACTAACAAGTACAAATCATGCATTCATTAACAACACAATCAGTTCACCACTTTTTTCAAGGCAAAATCGTCCAAAAGAAATTTGCGTTGCAAGCAAAATGCGCCATTATTAGCAACAAATTCTGAACACACACCCAACTTTTTGTGCATACAATTTTGCTTAACAAATGCTATTTTCCTTTAGAGAAGAATTGCTATTCAATTGATAAAAGGAGCATAAGGTGCAGCTGCATATAGTACTGCTATAGTACATTGTAGACGTGCATTAGAATTGAATTTTATTGTAGTTGCAACAGGTATTGATACTGAACAATGAGAGGAAGTGCTTTTATTTTGTCATGAGATTGAGTTTTGTAAAAAGTACCAATATGAGGCTTTTTTTGAAAGGGGAAATCATCCAATTCACTTCTCCTGCCTTAGGAGAGGCGAGAGTCTCAGATTCTTAACTGACTAAGAACCACCCCGTTCCTACTCCTGCTTTGCGAGCCGGAGCCCCGACAACCTCTTAGGTTCCCCGCGGCTCTGTATCGGCATCAGTCCTACTTGGCCCCTTCTGTAGTAGCCTGGGCCTCTAGCCAAACGCCACTTTAGCGCTTGTCTATAGAGAGAGTAGAAATCAAAATGTATGGGGATGACACTGACAAGTGTCAAAATTTACGTCAATTCCATATAATTTGGTTTTCTATTCTACATGTAGACAAGCGCTAAGTGGCATTTGGCTACAGCTGCTGATGGCTCTTTGAGGTGCGCGTGAAAAACGATGCGTTGTACCAATATTAGTTCGCAGATGTACATACTTGGCTACCTCGTTGGCCGAGTGGTCGTAAGTGCGACTGCCGGGCAAGGGATCTCGGTTTCGATTCCCGGGTCGGGCAAAGTATTATTGGATTTTTTTAAGTATTCTCAGTAGTAGCACGGAGCCTGGAATTGTGCCCGGTATATGGCAATAGGCTAACCCCCTGTTACATGGGACTCATAACATAAATAGTGAAAAGTAAGTGTTACATTGTACAATGGCATTAGGTGCCGTAATGTGCACCTTTGCCTACCCATTCGGGGATAAAAAGGCGTGATGTTATGTCATGTGATGTTATGTTTAAAAATTAGGCAGTCAATTAACTTACTACACTAGCAAAAATTTCCTCTTACTTCAAATGGAAAAGTTCCATCACCTCAGACAACGAGATCTCATTAACATTACAGTAAACAGTAAAACTATCTACACAGTATCGTCCACAATCTTGACCTATGATCATCAAAAAAACTTCCTCAAAAAACCACTTTAAATGATCCTTGACCTCCGCTATGGGGTCTCAATACATCACGAACTTAAAAATCATGTACAGTACCCGGCGACAAATATTGCACGTCGACTTTTGTTAAGAGACCAACGGCCATGCGTACACTGGTCACGATTATGAGCAGCTAATCTAATCGACCACTCTCATCGGATCATAAAAAAGAAAAAGTTCACAAACACATGATCGAAAACGTTAGGCGTATTGTGACGACAGAGTAATTTTTTTTTTACGGGATAAGCCGGTAAACGAGGCATGGACACCTGGAACACCAGAGACGTTACAAGTTCGTTATCGGCCTTTTGGGGATAAGGCCTTTTAGGATTGTTGGGAATTCAGGGATTGCGGAGATTGTGGAAGGGGAGGGGGGGTATTGGGCCTCCGGTAACCTCACTCACACGACGAAACACAACGCAAGCGTTGCTTCATGTCGGTTTGCTGTGAGGCCGTGGTAAGTAGTGTCACTCCAGGCGAACCGGCCCATTCGTGCCGAAGCATGGCTCCCCCACATTTAATTTGTCACCTCTACTTTTCTGACGGGTTTCTTAGAAGTTCAGTAAGGAAGAAGTTCAGCACCTTGCTCTGAAAGGCCTGATACTTTCAAATTACGATCTTCATCCCGCTTGCCAAACGTGGATACAATAATAAACGCCTCTTTTATACAGAAGGTTCGTAGTCCAACAGTAAAGTCTCTCATATATTTTTATTTTTATTATTATGTTTTTCGGCTTACTCACGCAATTATTTGACGAGGAACTCGCCTAGTCTTCGCTATGCTAGAGACTCATCCATGAGCAACATCCGCAGCCCGCGACGCGACGACGGTCGCGTTGCTAGTGCTATGCTAGTAAAACGTAATATTTAATTAAGTATGTCTCAAGAAACTTTCACACATACATACATACATACATAACTTTACGCCTGTCTCCATGGGAGTAGGCAGAGACTATGGAACGCGAATCACTACGACTTCTACATACCTCTTTCGCTTCATCAACAGTCATCAATCTTTTCATGCATGCTCGTCGGTTAAGGCTACTTTTAATTTGGTCCTTCTTTAATCTATCGCCAATCTGATCAGTATATGTTCGTCTGGGACGCCCTCTACCGATGGCCCCATTCATATCTGCTCTGTATACTTCTTTCGTTAATCTACTTTCATCCATCCTTTCTACATGTCCATGAAAAAAGTTATAATATAAATATATTTTTATATTTTTATAATTAAGTTGATGCGCAGTATTTATTGCCGGGTAATGTAGCAGATCAATGATATGGAGATTAAGATGAATCAACGAACCGTTAGAGCCTTCACCCAGTGACCTTCTTCCGAGAGCTTAAGCATAAACTTAAGTAAATATTGAACTTACAATGTCAACGGACCGACAAGACATTTCCAATCTTTAATCAAAGGAAGAAAGTTGGTTTTTGAGTGTTTGCCGACTCGTTTTGCGACGTTTTCTCCTTGAGATGAGATGAGTGGACTGGGGCAAATTGAAAGACACTAATGGCTTGATTTTTCACTCATGTTTGTTTATATATATATATTATGAATTTAAATGTCTGCCTTTGTCTGGTAGAGCCAAACCTGATGTCAAATATCTTGATTCAAACGTTTTTGCGTTCCACTGGCGTCATCAATTATTAGCATGTATTCCGATAAAGATTATGTTATGAATTGACAGGAACTTAAAGTAGTTTTAAGTTCCGTATACCTTTCCATAGTTTTAGGTGTTTAAATGATGACATAAGACAAGATATTGAGTTTGATACTTTTTTAACTAAAATGTTCTTAGCGAAAACAAAATATATATTAACATCAGCAGCCTATAATTAGATACTGCTTACCAATGGCCTCTTCTCACACGGAGCAAGCTTTAAGCGATAGTATGGTTGAAATACGCTTGCTCAACGCGCCTTGACGATTTTGAACTTATAATTAGAAATTATAAACCTCCCGGTGTTTTCCTTCACCGTTTGTCAATTGTGTCTAAATAATCTTAGAAAGTACTGTATATAACTCGCAAAAAGTCACATTGGTACTTGCCGTTGGTAGGTTTCGAACCCACACCTTCGTGCATGAGAAGCAGGCGTCTTAAACCTTCGAGCCACTACGACTATAAGTAAAATATACAACATCAATAAAATGTTTTTCGTTTTTAGATTGAGGAAGTCTGGCTGGAAGGCCCCCGGGGAGCTTGGGAAGGATCCCGAGTGACTCAGTGGCAGCACGTGCGCACCCGACTTGGGCTGGCGCAGCTACAGTACCAGCTCGATGAACTGGCACCCACTGGGAAGTGGATGCTCAGGGCTAGACTGTCTGATGGATCACAGGTGGGTTTTATATAAACAATTTAGCAAAAAGAGGTTTAGTTCAATTAGACGTCCTAATAAGCAAGTTATATGAAAAGAATTATGTTAAAAGACATAATTGGTTTTTTAAACACAATTAGCACCTGTTTAAATGCTAAGCAACGTGTTGCATATGCGATTCCTGCACATTCTCAATAACACAACACCCAGTTGCAAAACAATACAACAGATTCGGATTTTTTGTGAACGTACGACACTAAAGACTATTATCATAGAGTGGGGTTAAGTTCTAATAAAAAAAGAAATAAAACAAATGTTCTGTTTAACTGAGCTTTAGCTAAAGATGTTTTGTGCTAACTTATTTATAGAACGTAACATTTTGTCTACCAGGGGTCTTCAACGTTCTGGGTGGGTAACTACGAGCTGCCTCCCTTCCAGCTGAGTGTACGCCATGCACCCAAAGTGCTGCGAACCAGCGACAGACTAGTATGGACTGTCTGTGTCAGGTAAATAAAATTAGATAATAACTTTTTATCAATATACCTGCGGCGACACGTGTCGAATGACAGTTCAAACAAATCAACGGAAGACGTCACAAGAATCCTACATCGCACATGCAAAGTTTACATGCAAATTAACACGGATAGGAAATCCCAACGAACAACTGTTGGGCGGAAAGCCCGCTAGGCACGATCACCTCGCCTGGTCGGAGGATCCTCCTTTTCCGATCTTAGGGAACTATACTCTCTGTTCCCTAAACACCGATGTGTACTACCCACAACTAAAATAATTAAGCAAGGCTGAGGTTCCTTCAGGGATGATTTTTGTGATCGTTCGAGATCGTCCAGAACTAGTTATCATTACAAACCTTACTCACGTACTAAGAAAGAAAGAGAGAAAGAAACAAAGAAACAAAGAAACAAAGAAACAACATTGATTCAGCACCAGGCACGATGCAGCATAAGTAAAATATAAAAAGACAATAAAGGTATGACAGTGGAAGTAAGAAAAACATTAAATAAAAAAATTGAAACAGAATTAGAAAAGAGACGCTGACAACAAGCCTATGCTAAATGGGTCACCCATTTAGTATAAGCCAGGCATATAGCACCGATTTTCAGTGAGCACCCCTACTATCCATTCATATATCTTAATTTTCCATACAGAATATATTACTTATTTTGTGATTACCATTCACAAATTCAGGTCAGGGTAAAACACAAAAGAGCCACCTGGTTTTATTATTTCTTTTTTATTTTCAGCGAATGTAAATATCTAACATAAATATATTCTGGCATCTTCAGATACCCATGGTCAGAAGCTGTGGAAGGTATGCTGGTAATCCGTCTCCGAGGCGCTGGAGGAGGTAGCGGAGGCATACGAACTGCGGTCCAACTGAGAGCTCCCAAAGCCTGCCACCGACATGCCGCAGCTGCCAAGAGAGTAGGGCTAGATGGCACTAATCCTCCTGATGTTGTGGTTGCTGACTTCTCGTTCCAGGTAAGAATAACTAAAGCGTACTTGGTTAAATTTTGTTATTTTGTTCTTAGTATACTTATTATAGTATACACATAACTAGTCTTCTGCGACCCTGTTTTTGAGTCAAACTGAACTCATTTTGTAAAAATATCTTTTAACATAACATCATGTCTTTTACCCCCGAAGGGATGGTTCACATTATGCCACTGTACAATGTAACACCCACTTTTCACTATTTACGTTATAAGTCCCATGTTATAGGGGGTGAGCCTATTGCCATATACCGGGCACAATTCCAGACTCCGTGCTACTACTGAGATTTTTTTAAATAACCCCGTAATACTTTGCCCGACCCGGGAATCGAACCCGAGACCCCTTGCCCAGCAGTCGCACTTGCAACCACTCGGCCAACGAGGCAGTTGTAAAAATATCTTTTATCCCCTGAAAACCTTCAACAACAAATTTCAATTCTTGGCCATTTAACACCAATGCTTCATTGAAAACGATTTCTCATTCTGTCCGCAGGAGGAAGGCACGAGGATCTGGCAAAATACGACCGTGGTGTCACAAGTAGTGGACAAACCGATATCTTTGGAATTTTTGACCAAACACCGAGCAGTTATAGCTCCGGGACTACCGTACAGGCTAAAGGTGAGTCTGGTGATCAATTAGACTAAAGTCCTTCAAAGGTTTAAGAAAAGAGTTCACTTCTTTTTAAAATGTCGTGCACTTGTGACTTCTTTAGAACTGTGAGTGTCCACGAGTAGATATAACTTAAGAAAAACAGCAGTCAGACAACCACAACAGGATTTCAGCTTCATAAAATTAAGAATTTGCTCTTATTGTCTTGATTCAGCGGCACGATAAGATATATCGTGGGAACTTGTACACACTTAGGTCATCATCATCATTGTCTTCGTTTTTGTGGTCAACATAGACGTTGTTTTTGTAAAAATAAATCAGAGTTTGAAGGCACTTCGTCATCTGAATGTTATTGCTACTACAGCCAATTTCACACGATCAAAATGGCTGTACAAAGTAATCAAAATGGCAAAGATAGGATGTAAACTAAAATTCAGAAGTCTTGGTCAATAATGACGTCGCCGCAAATTAATTATTATTAGGGGCATAGAAAAAACAAATCGTACTTACTAACTTTCGCTGTAAACAGTTGTACTTTCGAATCAAGTGTCAACAAGTTTTGTAAAATTCTTTGTAAGGCTAAGGACTCACGAAGCGATTCTCTCGCCAACCGCAGAACTACCATCCCGCAGTGAGCGCGGGTGAATATCGCGTCGTGAGTCCATAGCATTAAATACATATAAGTTACCTGACTGTAAACGAACGAACGAAGAATAGATATCATATTAAGTTATTTTACTCTACTCTATCCAGGTGAAAGCAACTCGTTGGGATGACAAGCCAGCGGCTAAAGAGCTCATCAGAGTCTGTCGCCATCAGTCCAGCTTCCCTGATAAACTGCAGCAGCCGATCAAGAAACGAGAGACTATGTGTGCTGAAGGTACCACGGATGACACTGGAGTAGCGAGGCTGCTGTTCTCTGCAGGAGATGATGCTTCTCCATTTTATAGGTTTGAGGTTAGTATTTAATACCTAAACTAATCTACGTATATTTAGTCTTGTGAAGTTATCTTAAGACTATCAGTCTCTCAACTGATCTGGTTTTATGGGTCATCAGTACGATATTACATCAGATATACACAGTCAACAACTACAGAGATAGAAATGATACAAAAATTTCAATTACAACGAAAAATCTCATTATTGTAAAACAATTATAACCAAGGGTAATCTGTGACCAGGATCATAATTTATCTTCTATAGAATCAAATCAAGTTTTAGAATAGTTCACATAATCTTAATCTGTTACTCAAATTAGGATTCAGACTTAAAACTTCTTTCCACAGGCTCATTTATCAAACGACACGAGCATAGTAGCAGCTCCACTCACTCTGCCAGTACGTCGCTCGGCTTCCGTGCACGCAGCCCTCGGACCTTTGAAAGCGGAGTCACGTCAAGCTCGGACCTTCGTACCTTTGTACCTCAACACCAACAACACCTCAACTCCGTTTACTGTCCATTTCGTGGTACGTCTTACTCAAAAAGGATTGCTAGCCATTGTTTGGTCTTCATTCCATCTATTTTTTCAAGTCATCAATAAATCTTCTAATTAGCATATGTGTTGGCATGCAGTATGGATGTTAATCGCAATCATTCTACGTTAAAAGATAAACATTCAACCTATAATGCAGTCTAGAATAAATGGATTTTAGTTTAAAGAAAATTCTCTTCTTAGGTCATAACACGAGGTGGAATCATCTACCGATGGGGAGCCACAACCCAATGTCCAACGTCAAACTCTGGAGACCAGATTCGCACAGCAGCACGGAACTCCAAGTGTCCCGATCTTGTCCAACGTGACGTCGTCATGACACAACGAGACCATCCAGTGACACAAACGACTCAACAGACTACTCAGGCCACAAACCATAAAAGACAATACCGCAACACTGCTAGAATGAATCCTAGAACGCCCAGATTCCAAATACCTGAACAAAACATGTCCCTAGGAAACCAAGATGTGCTGATGAAGGATACTTATACTTTCAACGTTAGTACTGATGTGTCTGACGCTTTGCTGGACAGACATCAGTTGAGGGTGATGCTACCGATAAAGGTGTCTCATCAGATGTGTCCTGACAGTCACTTGATAGCATACTTCTATCATGAAGGGGAACTTGTGAGTGCTAGCAAGCATTTCGAAATGGAGGAGTGTTTTTTCAATAAGGTAAGTGGATTATACATGTGTCACAGCTATATCATAGTTAATTTCCATATCTTAACCAATACCTCTTCGGAGTCGCTGAGAACCTAACGGGTTACCGGGGCTCCGGCTCGAAGCGCAGGAGAAGGGACGGGGTGGTTTTTAGTCAGTAAGAGTCTGACACTCTCTCCCACCTCACCCAGGCGGGAGCAGTCATTCGAATTTTCCACCTTTAAAAAAACAAATACCACTGTAAATATTTTTTTTGACGATTGTGACAAAACTGAAATATAATCAACAAAATACATAATTCTCCATCTAGGTGGAAGCAACTTGGTTAAGCCGTCAAGCTCAGCCAGGATCTACAGTAACCCTTAAGGTTTCTACTCCTGGACCAGCGCTATGTGCACTCACAGTCCTGGACTCTGCAGCTAAGTGGACACAACCTCCTCAGCCTCCAAAGGAACAGCTTATGAACTCACTAAGAAGACTGATAGACAGTCACAGGAACCTGACAGAGTTTGATGCAGCTGGAGTCTGCTTCCTTAGTAAGTGGTTGGAGTTTCTTTTTATCTAACCTAAGTGTAATTATATGTGGTACGCATTAAGGATATTCATTGCATCATAAATGGGCTCTACTGAATTTTGCACTTATCCTCCAGACTCAGACACCCTCGAGATCCCATCAGGCAGCGTAGACCTCACAGCTTCGTGGCTGGCTGCTGCAGGAGTTCGCCTGATAGGAGGAGACATGCCCAACAATAAACATTGCATACCTCGCCCACCCGCTCTTCTGCAAGCTGAGGAAACTAACACTCCGAGGTCTGACTTCTCTGAGGTAAGGGATTTCAAAAATATAGTGACCAGGGACAAATCTTTTATCCCAGAAAATACACTATTGATTGATTTTGATTTTACAAGTTCTTTATTAATATTAAATATGATTACAATCAATGTTTACAAACGATCATATTCGATTTGTAGGCTTACTATAATTTATTTCGTTACACAGGCTGTCAACCGCCTTTAAAAACATTAAAACATATTGTTATTAAATATTAATTTTACACTGATATTAACTTGAATATAGATAAGATAAGTAAGTGGTATGTGAATGGACCCACATAATATTTAAAATATGCACTATTAAATGAAATGCGATACGATGATCTATTGTCAGATTCTACAATTTTTTGTTAAGAAAGGAATGATAAAACTGATGATTTAAGTATGTGATTTACCAGATTTTGTTCCTACTTTCTTTTAGCTACGAACTGCTACATATTCAAAGTATGTATTTTTCTAAAGTTACTGTTCGATTCTCAGGCATGGCTCTGGCGCCTCCTTGGTATTAGCTCCAACGGCACTGGGACTGCAACAGCCAACGCTCCGGATTCCATCACCAAATTCGAGGCTGGAGCCATCTGTGTGTCAAGGAACGGAGTAGCCATATCACCACCTGCTGTTTTACAAGTATGTTCATTGTATTATGTCTCCTAGTTTAGTAACTTTACATTTTTTAATGCCTGAAGAGCTAGGTTACCTTAAGAGGTACACTCATTCAATGTTTTTAATCCCGTATAATAGAACTGCGGCATTGATCAGATGGTCGCTCGCATATGTAACTAACAATAGAATAGTACCATTGGTAAAATACCTATTTATTCTGCCACAAACTATTTAATTATTATTTTGTATGGGCTCTATTCATAAAGTTAAACAAAGTCGAAGGAACATGAATTTAATTAACAAACAATAGGACTTAAATTGAATCCTTTGTTTTGTCATAATTAAGGCTTTAAACACTTATATTCGGAGATTCAAAGACTATTCCAACTATATATCTCATAAAGACTTTGTATTTGCTTTTTTATAATTAATTTCAATTGTTATGTTTTTGTATAAGTAGGTACAGCTAAAATGCATCTAGTTATTGAATTATTATTATTATTTTTAAGGTGTAAATATTTTAGTTCTAAATTATTTATATTTTAAGTTGTATATATTAATAATCTGATTTATCTACCTACTAATTTGAATCTGTACTAAATTAAGAATAAAATACTGTTATCATACTCGTAATATTCATCAATAAAATCAGAAACTTTATTTTGTTATTGAATAAAAAATGACGTTAACGCTAATTTTACTGCATATAATACTTAGCATTCACTTGTAGTTTTTCGCGATAGCAAAGATGACTTCGTTTGAAGCAAAAACTTTTTAAATTATACGTTTCTACGTCCAGGTGTTCCGTGAATTCTTCATCCACGCTGACAGTCCCAAACGCCTGCGCCGCGGGGATTCCACCATCATCAGATACAGGATCTTCAACTACCTGTATGAACCACTAAGTGTAAGTGCCTATCATAATTAAGACTCACCTAGGTTATAATAGTTGGTATTGTCCAAAAATATGAAAATAGTACGATTCCTGGGTCGGGCAAAATAAAACTGGGTTTTTAAAAATCTTAGTAGTAGCACGGAGTCTGGATATGTGCCTGATATATGGCAATAGGCTCACTACTCATAAAATGAATAGTGAAAAGTGGGTGTTACATTGTACAGTGGCATTAAGTGCCGAAATGCGCACCTCTGCCTACCTCTTCGGGGATAAAAAGGCGTGGTGTAATGTACGATAATAAGCTATGACTTTATATTCAGAACACTCTAATTAAAATTCCTTATGCCTTAAAAGTTTATAAAATTTTAACGCACTAACATGATATGCTACAAATCAACTATAATATTTAAAAGATAAACCAAAACTATATAAGAAGGTGAGGTGTGTGTTTTTTTATATTTGATGGGCCGACTCGACGTTTGATCACTATCTTACCTGGTGGTAAGCGATGATGCGGTCTATGATGGAGCACGTCGTCCCATAAGCATTTCACTCGGGCCTTGAAGACACCCAGGATATACCCTTCAGGAAATACAGACTCTGGCAAAGAATTCCACTCCTTAGCAGTACGCACAAGGAACCTAAACGGTGTAGTAAATGTACAGTCGGCAGCAGGTCAAACTATACTGTTCTGTGAAATGCCTTTATTAGATTTTCAACTCTATCGTTTAGATATAAAGTCGAATACCGATTGGCAAAAATTGGAGTTTGGAGTAGGTTGGTGTGCTAACCATTGTACAGTTATAAATGACTAGCTTTTACCCGCGGCTTCGCTCGCATCACAAAAGGATAAAAAGTAGCCTATGTGACATATACCAATACACACAGCGCCATCTATACCAATACTATTGTTTTCCCTCGGGAATATCAAATTTTTCTGGGTTAAAAAGTACCCTATTATTTAATCCGGACTTCTAACTATACATCTGCAAAAATTCAAAGCAATCGGTTTAGTAGTCACGGCGTGAAAGTGGAACCAACAAACAAACTCACTTTCTGATTTATAATATTAGTAAGGATTTCCTACTCTTTACACACCAGACTTAATGTATCATGTTAAAATGTCGTCTGTCGATTGCACTCCATTTAAAATAAAAGCTTTCCCAGCTGTCCCACTTCACATCATTCAACCGTTTTTATTATTCATCATACATCAACGGCCTATAAATGCCCACTGCTGAGCAAAGCCTCTTCTCACACGGAGAAGGTTTGAGCATTAATCACCACGCTTGCTCAATGCGCGTTGGTGATAAACTTATAATTAGAAATTATAAGTCCAGGTTTTCTCGTGATGTTTTCCTTCACCGTTTGTCAGTGGTATCTGAATAATAAAAAATAATCTTAAAAAGTACATATAACTCGGAAAAAGTCACATTGGTACTTGCCGTTGGTAGGTTTCGAACCCGCACCCTCATGCATGAGAAGTGGGCGTCTTAAACCTCCGGGCCACCGCGATACCGCGGTGTTTATTAATATCACCATATAAAGAATTATGACTGCGATCTTCTGCATATACGACTGCCGAGTAAGGGGTCTCGGATTTGATTCCTTGGCATTATCCATATAGGATCATTTTACTTTGTCATTAAAATTAGCTTTTTAGTATGGAGTTTTCCTAAATAATACTCACAATATGTGACATAGAACACCTACATAATTGACTATTTTTATCCCACCAGGTCCAAATACAGATTCTGACAGATCCTCACGTCGAAGGTCCGAAGGAGCTGGTGGAGTCAGCATGTGTTAAGGCTCGGTCGTCCATCGCTCGTCGTGTAGAGATCCGCGCACGAGTCGCTGCGCCTGCGCGCATCAGTATACGAGCTAAAGCCGTCAGTGATGGCAACTGTGGTAATGTGACCAGTGGAAGAACTGGAGTCAGGTAACAATTATTTCTTGATACTAAATAGAGGTTTGATAGATAGAATTAATTTCATTGAGAGCCTGAAATTGAGTCAGCTAATGATATTATTATGTGTACTTTAAATGTTAGTGTTAAAGCTAAAAATATTATATCCCACAGTGACGAAGTGATCATTCGCATTGCTGTCGAGCCCGAGGGAGTTCCTGTACGCGAACAGAAGTCCATTCTTCTATGTGGAAATAGTAAGTCAAATGATGACATGATATCGTTTTTAAGTGTGGGAGTGCCATGGTTCGGCACGAATGGGCCGGCTCGACCGGAGTGATACCACGACCTCACAGAAAACCGACGTGAAGCAACGCTTGCGTTGTGTTTCGTCGTGTGAGTGAACTTACCGGAGGCCCAATTAACCTCCATCACTTCCCCAATCTCTTCTATTCCTGAATCCCCAACGATCTTCAAATTCGTAATCCCCAAATGGCCGGTAACGCACTTGTAACGCCTCTGGTGTTCCAGGTGTCCATGGACGACGCCGATTGCTTACCATCAGGTTCCCGTCCGCTTTTTTACCGGCTTATGCCATAAAAATCAAACCATTGGTTGTGAGAATAACCTCTCCAATGACGGGCGAAAATGCGAACAAGCTCAATTCAAAAATTCCAATTGACAGTTATAGGTAGAATAGCCAACCAGATCCCAGATCTTAAAGTATACTAAAACTTTATTCTGTTTCTGCAACAGAAACGTCCGAAGCAGGCCCTTCTGAAGTGTTATGGACGTGGACACCAGTGAAGGCTGTGCCTGGTACTGAGACACTGACCATGTGGGCAGTTGGTGATGTTACTGGGCCTTTATTAGCTGTAAGTAGAATTTATTTTATAAGAATGCTATAGTAGTATAAAGGTACATGAATTCTCCATGCAGCTTGCAAAACATTAGTTACCTATTCCAAAATTCAAATTCGAGCTTGGAATCACTTCACCAACGAGTCAAACATAACATATAATTAACCTCCTTCAAACAGGAAGCGGACTCCCTCCTGCAGATACCTCGAGGCTGTGGAGAGCAGAATATGGCACAACTAGCTACAAACCTGTTGGCTCTGAGCCAACTGGACCCTAACTCTATTACCGCCACCACCGCCAAGGAGTACGTTGCAAGAGGTACGTCTTTATTGTCTCTATCCTTATCCTCGTGGGAACTATGCTGAAGTGAAGGATTTTAACAATCGAGCTACTGCCAAGTAGTGTGGGCAGGTGCTCTCCAGTCAGAACTTTCTCACAATATTGCGTGAGTGCTGCAACACTACCACTGCCTGGCTCCAGGTACTTTTGAACTCTTCTTTACAACGTGTCGCATGTCGCGATAGTAAGAAAGAAGCTCATGACATTAACTCTCAGGATCCAGCTGCTTGTTAACTGAATCAAAAATCTATGCTAACGTGCGGTGCAGTGCAGTGGACAGCCCTTTTCTATTTCTTTTTCTTTTAAATAAACTACAACACTAGGATTTTCTCCTATGTCGTGGGTGCGTTCACAAACATACAAGTTCACATACACAATGACACCCACACCCGAAACAACAATTTGTGGATTACACAAATAGTTGCTCCGTGCAGGAATCGAGCCCGCTACACGTTACGCGGCAGCCGGTTACCCAGCCACCGCGACAACCATGTAGAATTCAAATTCCGATGTAAAAGGAAGACATCATAATTTTAAATTAATTATGTGTTCCAACGCTACCACCTTCCATGTTGTCATGAACACCATTTTTTCCTCAGGATTTACGAGACAGCTGCAGTACGTGCACCCGTCAGGAGGGTTCAGTGCGTTCGGACCGTCTGACGCCACCTCCTCGACTTGGCTCACGGCATTCGTTGTCAAACATATGAGGAGAGCTCATAAAGTAAGTCCAACAACACATGCATGACCTTACATAAATTAAGCCTGGTTTTATTTAAAGAATGAATGCTAAAGTCTTCTGAAGTCTCCAAGATAGATTAAACCTTTAAATGAACTATCATAAAACTTTGAATTATCAATATCTCACAAAATAATGCTGCGGTACTGATTACTGTAATGGTTACAATTTTCAGCTCTTATGGCCAAATCTGCAAGTCCCAACAGCAATTATTCGAGCAGAGCGGTGGCTTCTCAACCAGCAAATGGAAAACGGATGCTTCAGAAACGAAGGACAAGTCTTCCATAGAGAACTTAAAGTAAGAATAAATTCTACTTAATTTAGAAACATAAAAACTACTAAAAAACTCAGCTTAAATGTGGGAGAGCCATGTGTCGGTTCGACTGGAGTAATACCACGGCCTCACAGAAAATTGAACTTGAATATTATCGCTGAAGCATTATCTGGACAAAATGAATCCTAGGAATCTGTGAAAGCCTGGTTTAAATCCCGTCATCAATATTTTTTTTATGAAATAAGCCGGTAAATGATCAGATGGAACACCTGATGTTAAGCAATCGGCGCCGCCCATGGACACCTGGAACACCAGAGGCGTTACAAGTGCGTTACCGGCGTTTTGGGAATTAGGAGTTTGAGGATTGTGGGGGATCCGGGATTGGGGAAACTGGGTAAGAGGGTAATAGGGCTTCCGGTAACCTCACTCACACGACGAAACACAACGCAAGCGTTGTTTCACGTCTGTTTTCTGTGAGGCCGTGAGATATTAGTAAAGTCTTGATTTTATGTTCATTTAATAGCTTAATTTAACTGTACATTTTCTTTTCAAGGGAGGTCTCAACGACGAAGGAGAAATTGCGAACGTCGCCCTAACAGCTTACGTCATAACGGCTCTCATTGAGAGTGCCTCACCGTTCCCTCACCGCGTCATCCGCAACACTCTTTCTTGTCTCCGAGCTTTACCACCAATGAAGTCCAAAACTCCCACCAGGGTGTATGCCAATGCCCTCTTAGCGTATGCTTATATGAAACTGGATCGATATGAAGAAGAACTGAGATATACCAACGAGGCAAGCTTGAGAAGAATGGTAGGTGGGCTCGAGCAGGATGAAGGAATAAAGCAAGTGCTTAACCTGATGAAGATGGCCAAGAAGAATGGGCAGTACGTGTGGTGGGAGACCAGTGAGTTGGAACCTTTTCTAGTCTTTACATGAACCACGAAGACGTGAATGCTAATTGGAAGTTTCCCGATGCAATATTGTTTAAATTACTTTTTGAGTGATATTTGAAGGAGGCAACTACTATTTTTATAGCTAATTTATTTGTATAGAAGCTGTTGACATAATCATAAGGCTCAATCCAAGGAAATATACAATAATACTATAGTTGTTTTAACTCTCATTCATCAGCTTATGAAGATTTGCAATTTAGAAAAGAGTATCATATCCGCTTTTCTGCGACGACCATTTGTACAATGAATGAGAGTGTAGTAATGTTCCGTAGGCAGCCTGTCGACGTCGGTGGAGGCGACGTCGTACGCGGTGCTGTCGCTGGCGGCGGCGCGGCGGCTGCCGGCCGGCGCGCGCACGCTGGCGGCGCCCGCCGCGCGCTGGCTCAACGCGCACCGCTCGGCTACTGGAGGGTTTATATCCACACAGGTATGATCCTTCTATTTCCTAAGAGTTTTAAAAATATAACTTATTAAAAGGTGATTTACGGCGTTGTCTCTAAAAAAATAATGATTTAGGGCGTTGAGCTTTGAGCGCTTGTACTTAATAAAGGTATCTTTATCCTTACGTAAAACACAAAGCGTACTTCTGTATTGAGCTCCAAGGAGTTACCAATCGTAACGTTAAAAGTGAAGACCAAATTATTACTAATAATTTCATTCTAGGTCCACGTACCGAAGTCTCCACACAATAAATATTAACACTTCTTTCTCCTTAGGACACTCTAGTAGCCTTAGAAGCGCTATCGGCCTGGTCTGCTCAGACCGTGGAAACCAACCTCAATGTGACGGCGCGCTGCAGCAGACTAGACCACCGAGTTACTCTGCAGCCAGGAGTCAAAATACCTGAAGTCGTGAAGATGAGACCAGGGGAACGACTTACCGTGTCTGTCGAAGGTATTAGATGACTCCATGAATTTTTATATTTTTTGTGCGTAAATTCAAATTGGAAGTGGACTGACTTACCACATTTTCGATTGCGTTCAATTACCGTCCAGTCGGATCATAACAATACAATACTACACATATTTTTATGAGTGTACAAATGGATTTGCATTATACATGGCTAATCTATTTCATTTCTTTCGTATGGCATCAGTCATCGAGAGAGTATTTTGAGAATATAATCATTACCTTCTTAACCAGGGAACCTCTCACCCAATATTTTTTTCATATGCCACGACTGTGGCAAAAGCTGCCCACCTGATGGTAAATGTTTACTGTGGCCTATGAACGCTTGCAATACTTGGTGCATTACATGCGCCTTGCCGACCCTCAATAAACCTATTAACTCATTTCGTGAAGAACCCCATATTGTCACCCACCGGGAAAACTTTGGCAGGAAGTTCATTCCATAATCAAAAGGTTCGTGGGAGGAAATCCCTCTGAAACCGAACTGTACGGAACCATTTGGGCTGCAATGTGTGAGCGTGAACTCCCAGTCCCAGTCGATGGCGAGCGGTGCGATGAAAAATAGTTAATAATAATTAATTCCTATAATTACTCAATCAACATAACTTTAACAAATACTCCCAGTATGAAACTCCTTGCTCAACAGTCACACGAGTTGTGACGACTCCGTCAACAACGCATTTACAAAGTTCTCGTCTACCTCCAGGCACGGGTTGCGCTCTCATCCAAGCGACGCGCGCGTACCACGTGCTGTCGCCGGACTCGGCGCCGCGCGACCAGCAGCTGTCGGTGCAGGTGTCGGTGCACACGGACGGACCGTTCGACTGCGGCCGCAACCGCACCAGCTGCTACTGTGCGGCTGTTGTTGAGGTATGGCGGTTTGTAGCGTACAATGGTAGGTGGGAACTCTGATGCGGAGCGAGGGGGACTGGGATGCCGTCTCCTCCTTTTGCGAAGCAGTCATGCTAGCTAAGGAGGAGGCGGAACGCGTCCTCGCAACCCAGCCATAGCGAAGGACACACCGGGCGTCGGGGATCCCGGGACGATCTCCGGCCACCGTAAGCGCGGGCCTGCGGACGGCGAGCATGGGTGGCTCCCCGTCCGACCAGAAACAGACCCGAGCGTACGGCGCCGAGCGTTCCGCGCGCGCCTCAAAGAGCCATCAGACCACCACAGATGGGGCCCAACAGGGCCGATGCCGATTCGGAATCGCGGAGAACCTTACGGGTAACCGGAGCTCCGACTCGACGTGCAGGTGAAGGAACCGGGTGGTTTTTAGTCAGTAAGAGTTTGACACTCCCTCCCGCCTCACCCAGGCGGGAACAGTCATTCGATGATTTTCACCCCTTAAAAAAAAAGTGGGTGACCTGTGTTCAGCTTTGAACGTCTTCTGGCGAGAACTGGAAACAGAATGTTTTTACTGTTAATAACTTTGCCTTTCCTTTTACGAAGTATACGACATACCTAAAGGTGTCTAAAGTAAACCTGGACCGCTCTGCTGTTTAAATACTTTTTTTAAATTTATTTCTATTTTTCCAGGCGTGTGTGCTATGGACTGGCAGTTTCCCAGAGATGGCTCTCATGGAAGTCACTCTCCCCGGTGGATTCGGAGCTGATGCACAACTTCTCTACTCACAACTTGGAAAAACTTCTTCTTGTAAGTAAATTCTTTTTTATCTATTGATTTAATTATTTTATATTTAAATTAATTCGCTATCCGATTGTACTTGTTTAATACTAAGGTCCGGGAAGCTAGACTTAAGTCGGGGAAATATTAAACCAAGGGTTTAGTATATTCTATCTGTCTATATCTACCAGCCCCTCATAATTATAATCAAACAATTAATTTAATTACACACTAAAATCATATGCATCCACAGTACTACGTCGCATAGAGTTGACGCCATCGAACTCCCGAGCGACCTTCTACTTGGGAACTCGCGATGGTAGCGACACGAGTGACCACGTGGGACACCAGTGCTATAACATACACGCCACAGGACCTAGGGTCAAGACACGACCAGCTTACGCCAGGGTCCAGGACTATTACGTGCCTGCCGTCAATGATACACAGGTAATTTGTAAATGTGAGAGCCCTGTAACTACCTAAATTAAATTAGACTAGTAGAATGCATGTGTGTCAGCCTGGAGTTGTCATGCTCACTCAAAATTCTCATTGGCAGTGGCTCGGGCAGTGGATCGCTCGATTCCCTATAACATGGTCGAGTTGGGCGGTGCTGGTGTACGTGTCATGTTCGTGAACGGGCGCTGTCAAATGGGACTGGTCAGCTCCAGACTGTATTAAATTTGTTGTCCTCAAGGTTATTTTCTTTTTCCGTCTCCTTGACCAAATATTGGTATTACATTGTTCTCACATTATTGAACTCAACGGAAGAATGTAACCAAAAATTGTATTGTGAACATGATTGAAAAAGAGTAACCTATGGAGTTTCTTGCTCGTTCTTCTCCATAGGAATCTACACTTTGGAACGAGCAAATAGCTTCACTAGAGGACTGACCTACAGACTGACATTTTTTATTTTTTTCTTATTATTTAATATTTAAATATTTTGTTTTGACGTTCAAAAGTGCCTTACTGGTCTAATTGAAATAAATGATTTTGACTTTGACTTTGACTTTGAATTAAGGTTTTTAATTTGTCACCTATTAGGAAACAACCAGTGTCACCACTGTGGAATAGCCACAACACCAGAGGCATTACAAGGGCGTAGCCGGCTTTCTAGACTTCCGTGAAAATCACTATAAAAATACTCTAAACATATCTAAACATATCTAACGAATACTTGTTTCTTTTCAAGGTATATACTATACCCGAAGAATGTCCGCCACGCATCGTACACGAGGCCAACGACTATCGAACATCAGACAACTTGTACTCAAAAGCAAGAGCCACTAACAGTGACGACATTGTCATCACACATGAGTTCTCTTTTGAAGATATCCCAGAAGGCATACCTCTTGAGGATCCACTCATTTATGACCACTTAACTGAGAACGAAAACTATAGAACACCGGAAAATCAACAAGAAGTTGGTAAATTACAATTCAATGACATGAATACTCAAAACGACGGACAAAGTCAAAACGTCACAGATGTCCGTAAACCACCAGAAAATTTGAAAATTGGGGAGCCTACAGAACAAGTTCACAGTAATTTCGATAACGTTGTAAATGGATATTTCTGTGAAAACGATGCGACGACCATTTCCAACATTAACGATATCATTAACACGGGAATAGGAAAGGATAATAATTTCGCCAGTACTGCGAGTGGTGGTGTTGCTAAACCCGAACATTATCAACCAGTCAGTTTTGGCAGTGCGCAGTCAAATAACCGTAACTTTGAAAACATACTTAGTGAAAATCTTCACACTGTTGCTGATGATAGCGCATCTAACCATGAAAAAGCAGATAACACTGACTCATTTCTTGAAAAGATTGATGATATTACAAGATTGAGTGAAGAAATTGATACAATTCATAGACAATGGCATTCTGGAGAAAGTTATCATCACTTTCCTAATACTATTAAAGAAAATACTGATACAAGTAATACTACAATTACAGTGTTGCACCAGAACTTTAACCCTCCGCCTGATAATCAGATCACTCAAAGTGTTCTTAGTGATGCGATCAATCGCAATTTAGAGTTAGTAAAAGGATTAAATGAAACATTACATTACCAGAGCGCTTTAGATAAAAAAATAATTGAGAGTTTAGTGTCAAATAAGGCCACGGAGAAAGATTCGAGTAATGAAAATTTAATGACAATTGTGGATTCTGAAGGAGATCAGCAGGATGGAGACTTAATTGATAGTGATAACATATCAACAGAACTTAAAAATAAAGCTATAAAAAATAATGATGAATCACAATTCGATACAAAGAACAATCTAGTGCATGAAATAGACACTTTGAATAAAATCGCACATAGACAACTTAATGAAACACGAGCGAAATATGACGTGCATCATATAGACTATACACAAATGTACGCACAAAATTCAGATATGGAGTTTATGAGCAACAAGAACTATAAAAATGTAGTAGGTAACTATTACGGACCAGGTAGTAGAGATAATGAAATAAAAAGATCATTTACAGACCACTCACCGGCCGCACAAGCGCCAGAGCAAATTATATATAATTCTGATGAATATAAAGATCAAAATGAAAAAGTAATTAATAATCCAAGTTTAACAGATTTCCATGTTATAGATACAGACAAAGATTTAGAAGTTCCACCGGGGATTGAAGGGCCTGTAGCAGTCTCTGTGCTTCCACCTCCAGGCTATGTGGCGCCGGTGGTTGCAGGAGAAGCGAGGAGACTGAACTACAAACGCAAACCATTCGAATATGCCAATCGTGATGAAGTTCCACAACGTCGAAACTTCGTGCCCCCGAGACAAAGTCAACCAAAGGTTCCTAAGTTATCTTTAGACATGGATCTATCATTTGGGGATGATGAGTCGGGAATTTTTGAGTCCCTTCCAGTTTACCCGCAGGCACTACCATCTCATGGGTATAGAAGAATGCTGTCTTCGTATACAGGGTTCCCTCAGTATCCCGTGGATCGAGTGATAAGAACTATGGTGCCCCCAAAACGTGATGTTCAGGACAGGAATATGAAAAGTGTGCAAAGTATTTACACGCCAAATGGACCGTATTTCTATTTCAAGCCAGATGGTGAGGATACCGTTGAGAAGTTCTTCGTACCTGTGCATTGATTTGTTTGTAGGTTTGTGTGTTTTTTGTTGCATTTATTTAGTGTAGTGTAGTCTTAGTGCGTGTACGTATAGTTTGACTGATTTTAAAGTCTATTTTTTATGTAATGTAATGGACAAAGGATTTTGTTCTTTATATTAAACAATGTTAGACCATTTTTATGATAATTTCTATCACATATTATTGTGACCTTTAACAGTACACTAATATAGATATTGGGTATGACTGAATTGATACGAGAGCTAAACAGTATGACTGTGTAGAAACTATTCCTAATGCTGATATAGACATTATTCTATACTATTAAACTGAATTTATTATATTGAATTTATATGTTTAATATTAGAAATAAATTCTGATAAACCAAAATAATACCTAAATAATAAATCACTATTTATATTCCTTTCCATGTTCATCATAGTATAAAATGAAGTCAGTTAAAGATAGCAAAATTTGAAGACTGCATCTGCTGCATGCATAATACATTAATCGCTTATATATCGAACACAAGTGTGTGTCATCACTTAGAAAACAATGTGACATCACTATAAAGTTTATTTTATACATACATACAATAAGCAACCTATTCACTCGGGCCTTGAAGACCCACCCTTCAGGAAATACAGACTCTAAAAAAAATTCCACTCCTAAGACTGCTAAGGAGTGGAATACGAAGACGCAGTTTTTATAACATCTAATTACTTATTGTAATGAGACCTCTTTGTCAAAAAACTGCATTGTATGCAAAATTATGCGAATGATCACTACAGACTAAACTTGCCAACTAATGCAGATTCAATTGTTTAATGTTAATAAAAGTATGCTACATTCATAGGTATCAAAATGATATAATATTATTATATGTTTTCTCCGAAATGTTTATATGATAATTCGAAGTAAATTGTTGACGTATTCTTTAAAACTATACTGAACTACTAAAATATTAACAAATTAGGTTCTTAAACGACAAGTTATCAGTCGCCGAATTAAGAATTTCATTTAAAAATTTTACAATGGAATGAAAATGTGACTAAGTACTGTAATATTAAAACAAAGATGGCCGCTATTCTTTCTATTTTCGAAAGATTAAATTTAGTTTATACTATATATTAATAGTAATAAGAATCCTTTTCTCTTGTAAGCTTTAGTTTCTAGTTAATAAAACAGATTGTACAGATATAATCTTAAACTTGCTGGTGCTTATAATAGGGACGATGATAACATTTTTTCTGTAAAAAAACGATTAAAAAAATATATTTTTATTCGTACAAAATTCCTATAGTGACGAAAATCCATACGTCAAGTGACGTCACGTCTTAAATACACTTTAACTGTGACGTGTTTAGTCCTAATACTTTATTTTTTTATAATTTGAAATTAAAAGGTAATACTGAATAATTTTTACCTTGTCATCATCCCTATTATTGTCATTAAAATAAATTTAAGATTAAGAATTAATAATAATTATGACTTAAAAGATAAGTATAACTTATAATAAGTAATTATTTATTTTTATTATATAACATGTAGTTGGTCTGTAATGTTATTTAGGCTGTGAATAAAGTAAATGAATGTGTGTATTAGTGTATTATTTTCCTTAAGGAAATGTTTAATGTGTTATTAATAGTTCCTATTATTTATTCCTACATCGTATATGTATTACATTTTCTATACAATACTTAAGTTACGACTTGTCTCTAGCATCGCTTCTCCATTTTGGGGTTGCCGTCAGTTTCAGTTCATCTTCCCATCTCTTGATTTGTCTTCCTCTGTTCCTTTTTCCATCTCTAAGGAGGGTTTTTTTTAAGTGGGGAAAATCATTTAATTTCAACAAGCAACTAACCAATTAATTTCTTGCAATAACTGCTTAATTTGCATTATTCGAAAATTGCATGATTCGAACATATATGTACCTACATTTTAATCAGTGCATTTTCCTGAACCAACTTATTATGTATTTTTAAAATGACCCCTTCTGACCTAGGTGCTGAATAAATACCAAACTGCCACATAGTACACAGATATTCTATCGTAAGGAAATCCTTCAATTACCATAATTAACATTACTCACTACATATGCATGTAGGCCACATAATATTCCACTATACCGCGTCATGATGACGTCAGAGGATGACGTCACTTCTGACCTTTTTATCCCTTGCTACAAACGCACAACGGAAATTCAACCATACAGAGTTATAGGAAAGGTTGAAAGTCTATTGCAGGGCCAGTGTGGTAGGTTTATTTGCTAGCTGTTCATCTAGTGACCACTTCAGAAGGTCACTTCATCTGATGGATGAAAATAGTTTCCGCTTTTCAATCAAGTGTTGTAGTTGAGTGTTATAGGGATTCACTTATCTATAACTTTTTTATTCCCTTCTTTTTTAAGTTTAATAAGTCGTTTTTTTTTTAGTTTTAAGTAACAAGGAACTACGGATCATGATGTAACACGCCGTCACCATCGACAATATTGTCTATGTAGCATAACATCACGCCTTTTATCCACACAGGGGTAGGCAGAGGAGCACCACTGTATAATGTAACACAATACCACTGTATAATGTAACACCCACTTTTCACTATTTATGTTATGAGTCCTATGTAATAGGGGGTGAGCGTATTGCCATATACCGGGCACATTTCCAGACTCCGTGCTACTACTGAGACTTTTTTTTTGAAAATCTAGTAAAATATTGCCTATGCATATTATAATTAAAGTAATTTTTGGGGATACGCTGATAAACGATCAGACGGATCACCTGATGGTAAGCAATCGGCACCGCCTATGGATACCTGAAACACCAGAGGTGTTACAAATGCGTTACCGGCCTTTTGGGGATTAGGAATTTAAGGATTATTTGGGATGGGGCTAATAGGGCCTCCGGTAACCTCACTCACACGACGAAACACAACGCAAGCGTTTCACGTCGGTTTTCTGTGAGGCCGTGGTATCACTCCGGTCGAGCCAGCCCATTCGTGCCGAAGCATGGCTCTCACACACTAAAGTGACGTTGAATTTGAAGTTCCATAGAATTACTGTCAAAAATCAAAATCGATCGAGAAATTTTAACAGTTTGACAGCCGACAGAAAACTGTTGAAGATAAATCCTCCGCTATCGTGGCCCCTACCTTGTCCCCCATGGCGTTCAAGGTGTTACAGATAGATTATTGAAATTTTAGTAGTGTTTCTAATATGTAACTTGTACTTACCACATACTCGTTGTGTTTAAAAAATTGTGAGTCACACAATGATTTTCAAGAGGCGGAATCGAATCCGTTTTACGCTGCGAAGCTGTCGGTCACTGAACTATTGCGTCAACCGTATATTCATTACAAGTTTATTTATTTAGCCTGCATCATAAACATAATCTTAGCTATAATCCGTAAGGCATCCACTGCTGAACATATACTTAGTATGCCTTCTCAATGACTTCTAGCTCAGTTAGAAATTACCTACATCTAGCAACTCCTTGCGACATCTTTTTTTTTGAGGGGCAAAAATCATCCAATGTCTTCTCACGCCTTAGGTTAGGCGGGAGGGAGTGTCAGACTCTTACTGACTAAAAACCACCCCGTTCCTACTTCTTCGAGCCGGAGCCCCGGTAACTTGTTAAGCTCTTCGCGGCTCCGTATCGGGCATCAGCCCCATCTGTGGTGGTCTGATGGCTCTTTGAGCCGCGCGCGGAACGCGACGCGAGCTACCCTTACTCGCCGTCCGCAGACCCGCACTCCTTGCGACTGGTAGGTCTTCTAATCATCATCCTGCGCTGCACTTACGAGATTTAAGATTTAACTTTAGTACATACAATAAAAGTTAAATGTTAAATAAATACATATAAAATCACGTCTTTTATCTTCGAAGGGGTAGGCATCTCTATGCACACAGAGGTAACATCCACTCCTTTCCACTTTGTTATTAGTAGTCCCATGTAATAGGGTGAGCCTATGGCCCTATTTGTGTGTGTTTTTGCCCTAATTAGCCCTATTGTATTGTTAAATAAATAAATAATATTTGAACTACATCATCATCGTCATCGCCATCATGGGTCATCTCATAACACACGGAGGAAAGATCTCTTCTCACTCGGAGAACGAAAGAGCATTAATCACCACGATTGCTTAAACCGATCGGGCAATTTCAACATAATTTGATTTTTTACTGTAAACAGATTATTCGTTCCGTTACCCGTTCTATACAAAACAACGTTATCAATACTAAGTACTGGCTTCCTCAAAACTGCAAATATTTTATCAGTGAGTAGGTACCTACCTACATTATCTGAGTGCTTTGAGTGGACGTCCGATAATAACATACGATTTACCGTTACTGTTCTGTTGTCTTATTTAAATAAATATTTAGATTCTGATGTACTTTTGCTTGACTGTAACTGTATCGACATTTTAATCTTAAAACTTACCGGGCCAATTTTGACAGGTAGTTGATCATGTTTGTCGTCGTCAAAATGTCGATACCATTTCGACTTTTTTTTCTTATAAATTGCCAAAAGAATTCTTATACGTTGCCCCACAAAATTATTATACGTTGCCCCACACTAGGATTTTATTCTTTGTCGTGGGTGCGTCTACAAATATACAATTTCACATACACACGACACCCAAACCTGAAACAACAATTTGCGGATCACACAAAGAGTCGTTCCGTGCGGGAATTGAACCCGCTACACGTTGTGCGGCAGCCGGTTGCCCAACCATACAGTCGAGTGGAATCTAGTTTTGGGTACTCGAACGTTTATTTTCATCATCTGCTCGTTTCCCCCAGTAATAGACATAAGGATCTTCAAGAACATGGTAATAAAGTCGATAATTCACACATTGACTGCTCATGAGAACCTACTGAACTATATGGCTCCTCTACCAAATAGGAGTTTGTCATAAGTTCCACGCTTGGCTGTTGAGTTGGAATGCGCAGTTAAAAGGATCAAGTTTATTAAAAACGCTGCTAATCCGTCTTAAAACATGCAGTCTTTAGTCGTGATTAATACGACTCCAAGAAAGCAACCAAATTTTGAAGCTCCTTAGAGGTATTTGTATTGTAACTTTCGTGAGACATCCTTACTTCCTTACTATCCTTATCCTTACTAATATCCTTACTTCCTTACTTTACTAATATTATAAATCGGAAAGTGAGTTTGTTTGTTTGTTTGTTTGTACCGCTTTCACGCCATAACTACTAAACCGATTGCTTTGAATTTTTGCAGATGTATAGTTAGAAGTCCGGATTAAATAATAGGGTACTTTTTATCCCGGAAAAATTAGAAATTCCCGAGGGAAAACAAAAGTATTGGTATAGATGGCGCTGTGTATTGGTAGATGTCACATTGGCTTTTTATCCTTTTGTGACGCGAGCGAAGCCGCAGGTAAAAGCTAGTACTAAATAAATTATTATGTTTTGAAACTAGTCGAGTTCCTCGTCAAATTACTACGTGAGTAAGCCGAAAACATAATAATTTACTCATTAGAGGTAGAGAAATATTTTTTATCGATGGAAAGGTGACCTTGGTTGAAATAGACTCACTTAGGAAACTTAGAAAATAGAAATTTAGAAGATTAAGTAAGTAATAGTAGATGTCATTGTTTGCATTGATTCCCTCACTTGTCTAGGTCATCTCTTCAATGATAAATCCTGGCTTCCGATATTGCTATTGGTCGTCAGACAAAATACACAAAGGAACGATAAAGAAGATCCGCTATCAGGTTGTTGAGCATTTTATCAACGAATCTGATATCTGACTTTCACATATTAATCTAGAGTATAGTATCTAAGTATGTAGGGACATTATTGTACTTATCTATGTAGGTATTGCAATATTTAATGCATTTATAGGTAACCAATACGTAAATCATTTTTCCTTTTTCCTGCATTCATAAACTGCCTTGTTAATCGAATGTTTTAAATTTAACACGCTTATTCCACCATGATGGGATAACACATGTATGGGATGGGATGTCAGTAGTAGACTGTAAAGAATAGTCATCTTTTAGTCTTTTGACGAGAGTTATAACAAAATGTTGGTATGTTATTTTTTAAGTCATAAACTACCTACACGTAAATCCTTCTAGATTTTGAAATAGAACTTTTTTAGCATTGATAGGTACATAATTTACAAATAAGGTAAAGTAGCCAAGCTAGGGAATGACAATGAATGAAAACGCTGAAATCTAAAACCGATTATATTTACATACTTGTCTCAACTCTATGATTAATCTTCTAACTGCTAAACAAATATTATTTTTTAGTTTTATATTCAGCCATGATCGTCCCACTGCAAGGCAAAGGCCTCCCTACCCTCCTTCGACTCGCTCCGGCTCGAAGTGCAGTAGAAACAAGGTGGTTTTTAGTCAGTAAGAGACTGACACTCCCCCTCGCCTCTGCCGTGACTGGGCTGGTCATG